CGTACACCGTTCTTACCAACGATGCACCCAAGAAGTGGTATTTCGCTTGCTGCAAATATACACTTCTTGAGGTTTGCATACAATTGATGCTTTCGCATGATTGTAAGAACTTGTCGGACGTGGTACTTGTGAACCTCAACGTCCGACTTTCCATCCATAGCTCGACTATGGATGAATACGTCATCGAAATAACTCGGCGCGAATTCTCGTACTGGCCTCAACAGATGTGATACACACCTGTTGAACGTGGCAGGGGCATTACTGAGCCCTTGTGGCATTACTAGCCATTCCCAGAGCATGCCGCTAGGCGTGCTAACTGCGGTATAGGGTATATCCCGTTCCCGCATTAGGATTTGATAGAAGCCATCCATCAAATCCATGGACGAAAAGATGGTACTCTTTGACATACCATCAATGATTACGTCCTTCCTCGGTATCGGCGTCTGAGCCGGTACCGTTGCAGCGTTCAATTTGTTAAACGCGTGCACTATCCGCCACCCTCCTGTTGCTTTTCGCACACAGAAGGTCGGAGAGCTATGTGGGGAAGTTGATTCCCTCACATGGCCCGCTGCTAAACGATCGGCAAAGAACTTGTCGATCGCAAGTACTGTTCACGAGGCAGTGGCCACTGCTTCATGACACAGTACTTCGAGCCTGGTTTAAGCTCGACTTCGTGTCGAATACCTTTATCCTTCGGTAATTCGCACGGAACAGTTTCAGGGAATACATCCTTGAATTCAACCAAATCTTCATAGAGAGGATTTTCCTTGAGCGATTCCCATGATTGGGACTCATATCGCTCAATTCGTGTCTTTTCATCTAGGACACTCTCGTCCATAGATGAACTACTGAGAACTCTCTCGTTCTCAGTAAACACTGTTGCTGACCTTATGTCGGTTACATACTCGTCTTCAGCGACGAGTATGCAGATCTGCTTGACTTTGCCACTACGCAGATCACGCAAGAATCTTTTATGTTCGAGCGTTGGCAACTGAGTGATCTCCGAAGTTAACTTCGGAGGCGCAATCAGATCAAGTGTATAAGCGCCTACACATGATCCGTTATTGACTATGACATTCAATGTCTCTGTCATTTCCTGGGGACTTATTCCCTCAGGCTTCGAAGGACTTATTCCTTCGTCTTCCCGGGGACTTATTCCCGCGGGTTTTGGGGAACTTATTTCCGCCGTATTTGTAATCTTGGGACTTATTCCCTTTACTTCCTCTAGCTGGGGTTGCGCAACCACAGCGAGATCCTCTACGAAAGACTCTCCAGTCGATCTAGGATTATCGTTTCGCTTAACCTGAGCGATCGATTGTTTCTCTTCTAGATGTTCCCCTCTAGGGATACATCTTTGTCCCAGTCCACCCGACTTATTCGAGTGGTGGACCTTCGGCGCAGCCTGTGTTTCCTCACAGCCGCCGGAACTTTGCTCCGAAGTGTTACCGTTTGGTACACTAAGGTTTTGTGCAGTCGTACTAACGACCGTACCACAAGTGAGGCCATCGCACTCACTCGTAGTACATCCACACGCTTGTGGACGCTCCAAAACGTTCATCAGATGGCCATCTGATGAACAAGCGGCAGGCATCGTTACTGTCCGATGTTGCCAGTTTACCCGTGGTTCGTACCTTCTGAGCCACGGTATTCCAAGGATGACATCAAATTTGTCATCCAAATCCAATACGATAAAGTCATCGTCGTATTGGGTATCTTCTAGCGTATAGTGAATCTTCACTATACGCTTTATGACGGTTACGGATGCGCCTGTCGCAAGACGTACCGTCATCCTCGTAGGAGGTGTGTCACATTCACTGAATTTAAAGTGACCATCTTCTAGTGATTGGCGTCGCACAAAATTGTTGGACGCCCCACAATCGACTAGAGCTCGAAGGGACAACTTATTCGTCACTTCGAGTTTCAAGGTAATGAGTGAGATCTCATTACCTAGAGCAGCAACGCACAATGTCTGTGTGTTGGGAGCAACCTTCATCAAGAGGCCTACAAATTCTCTTGACGTTGCTGGATCAGTAGGGTGCTCCGCACCTACTGATCCTGTCCGTTTTTTGACGGTCCATCCCGTTGTTGCGTCTTTGCACCAACTGCGGACCCTCGTCCCTGCCCCTTTATCATGGGTGGACGGTCACTACGCCCAGTGTCGCGAGACACTGGACGAGGGGCACTACACTCGTAAGCGTAGTGTCCTGTCTTTTGACATCTGTTGCATCTCTGCAACTTCTTGTAGCCTGTAGAGCGAGCCTTCTCGCTCTCTACATAACAGAGTTCCATCGGCTCTGGACCTCCGTTGTCATATCGTCTCGGTTGACGATATGATGTCGAGCTGGCGCGAGCCTGTCTCAGACTGAAGTCTTCCTGCTCCGCAATTGAAATGGCTTGTTCTAGTGAATCTAGTTCAAGCCGGAACAGGTGAGTCTTGACGGGACCATCCGCAAGACCCTGCATGAACACCGAAACCAACGTGTGTTCATCCACCGGATTGGAACTTATACAACTCGTGAGATGTCGTATATGTTGAGCGTAAGCGTGCACATCACGCTTACCCTGCTTGAGCTTCAAGAGTTCGGTTCGAGCTCTGAACTCAGCTCTAGGCGGTTCAAACGTTTGTCTGAGCCGCGACTTGAAGACTTCCAACGACCCAAACGCATATGGGTCGTGCAGCTTGAGCCCCAGTGCCCAAGTCTTGGCACGTCCTGCCAGATTTGACTGGGCAAATGCAACTTGCATATCCCCGTCGTCGATGCGACGCGCCCTTATGGCGTCATCCAATTCGACGAACCATCTCAAGAGGGAGTCTTCTTCGACCCCCCTATACTTTGAGATGTCAATCTTCAAGGTCTCGGGCCGACGCGAGTGCATCGACCCGCCAGCAGCAGCCTGCTGCTGTCTCAACAGTTCAAACTGTTGAGCACCTTGTTCTCTCAACAACTCTGCTTGTTGAGAACCTTGTTGGTGAAGCAAGGCTACTTTCTCGCGTTCTGCGTCAAGTTCATTTTGAATGAACTTGGCGATAGTAGCATGTTGGGCATCTCTATTGAGAGCCTCTAGCATGACGCTAACAGCATGGATGCCCATGGTTGAACCCATCCGTTCAACCGCATCCCATTCGACATCGCTCAAATGGGAGTAGCCGTCACGCGTAGCGTGAAAGCTTTGGTCATCTTCATCATCCAACGTATTCATGTTGGATGTGAACGTGGTCCTTGGACGGACTACAAAGTGCTACCAGGTGTAACGGGGCACCCTGAAGCTTGTACTGGTGACAGTACAAGCTACTTATTCTGATAACAGAATAAGGCGGTGCCTCGTAACTTCACGTACACTCGTACGTGCAGAGGAAGACGGTAAGAAGAAGCGAGTACTCGGTTAGAGTAAAAAGTAGAACTGTATTTATAATAGTTAATGTCTGCAATAAATCACTATTTATCTTCATCTAACTATGTCTAAATACAAATGTGTAAATCAGTTATCTGCTCACCACTCATTGCGTGCGTCTGTCGTGGCGCGTCTTCGTTGGTTGATATAATGGCCTATATCAACCAATTAGGAACTACTTGGAAGTGCTACAGAATATTGTCCTTATGACAATATTCTGAGAATATAACTCTTATAGTTATATTCTATTAACAATTTCTTATAAATTGTTATGTAACGATTCACCCCGTTACACATTTGGTCAATCAGTCACTAAAGTGACTGATGGTTAAGGGGGGGGGTGATGTAACGGGGTGAATTGTTACATAACAATTTGTAAGAAATTGTTCATAGAATATAACTATAAGATTTATATTCTCAGAGTATTGTCATAAGGACAAATATTCTGTAGCACTTACGAGTAGTTCCTAATTGTTTGATATAGGCCATTATATCAACCAACGAAGACGCGCCACGACAGACGCACGCAATGAGTGGTGAGCAGATAGTTGATATGCACATTGTATTCAGACATAGTTAGATGAGGATAAACAGTGATTTATTAGCAGACATTAACTATGATAAATATAGTTCCTTTTTACTTAAACTAAGTACTCGCTTCTTCTTACCGTCTTCTTCTGCACGTACGAGTGTACGTGAAGTTCCGAGGCACCGCCTTATTCTGTCATCAGAATAAGTAGCTTGTACTGTCACCAGTACAAGCTTCAGGGTGCCCCGTTACAAAAAGACTCTTTGAGTCGAAGACTTCTTCTGTGAAGGAGCGCTAAGTAGCCCCGCTACGCCCTCCTAGGTATCGGTATGTGCAAAGTCGCTCTTTGGCTAGGTCACTATTGATGCGCACGCACGTGATTGGCTTAAAATCGATCAAAGGTGAATATGATCACGTAAGCAAATGATGGTCGCTTATAAGCAAAGGCCGATCACGTTGCCTAAGGTTACTGCTCTAGGTTAGTACAGGCATTAACAGCATCATACTCCTTCTTCAGTGGTTTGTCTTGTGTAGTGTTTTGCAGCCTCATTAAGTTCTCCGAATTGGATTACTTTCATAAAAGGGCGGGCTCAAGAGCTTGCTCCCCTATCTGATATTAGACAATTATTGATGGGAATTTTATAGAATAGTGCCAGTTTAAGGGGGGATGGAAATAGCAATAAAGTGGGTGAATGGATACCCGCGCCCCTGAAATGGCGTAAGCAAGAAAAGCGTAGTGTACATCGGTCCAGCCTTACACCAAATAGGGAGGTTTCGAACTGTAGATTGGGTCAGGTATTGATTTAGCATCGAAAAATGAGGTTTGCGGTGGCATCAAATCAGTACTGATAAGCTCCTCTATCATTAGATTCCGCCTTTATCAAAATATTGTGAACTGAATTCGAATTTCTCTCATCGGCTGAAGTTGTTATAGAAACAAGATCAAATACGAATCAGATTTGTGTATCGCAAATATAGACCACACTGGTCCTTGGTCATCATCGTTTATTACATCAGTTCCCGCTTCCGCCACTTTCCTTGGAGACCCGAAACGAAGCCGACCCGAAGCACCGGAAAGATGGCTATCGCTGTTAAACCCAGGTGCAGCCCAGTACATTGCAATGCGTGTCGATTCAATCACGTCATATAACACAATGGCACTGTGATGTATTCAGAGTTGGATGGATCGGGACGGGCGTCATGGGTGCCAGCATGGTCGGGCACATCCTGGTAGGTTGTCCCGCATCTACTTCGATACATAACTCCGTAGTGTAGGACTGAAGCTCTTTGCTGGTACGTGGACTGGGAGATCAGAAAAAAGGCTATGACGTGACGGTGTTCAACCGCACACCCTCCAAGTGCAAGCAGCTGATCAAGGAAGGCGCCCAGGTTGCCAGCTCCCCCGCCGAGGTGGCCAAGGTGTCTGGTACGTAGGTACTTGTACCAGGCAGCAACTTGCTGACACTCGATGCTCATCTGCCTGCCTGTGGCTGTGCTAGACATTGTGTTTGGCATCGTGGGCTATCCCAGCGACGTCCGCAAGGTGTTCTTGGACCCGGAACGAGGCGTCTTGTCTTCGATCAAGGCAGGCGGTGTCATTGTTGACATGACCACGAGTGAACCGTCCTTGGCCAAGGAGATCTACGAGACTGCAAAGCTCAAGGGCGTCTCGAGTCTCGACGCTCCTGTCTCCGGTGGCGACGTCGGTGCACGTGAGGCCACACTGTCCATCATGGTCGGTGGGGACTCTGCCACCGTCGAGTCCACGCGGCCACTGTTTGAACTCATGGGCAAGAACATCTGCCACATGGGCGGAGCCGGTGCTGGCCAGCACACCAAAATGGTCAACCAAATCCTGATCGCCACGAACATGATTGGCGTCGTCGAGGGTCTTCTCTATGCGCAGAAGAGCGGCTTGGACGCGGACGAGGTCATCCGCGCTGTGAGCGCAGGAGCTGCAGGCTCGTGGTCGATCAGCAATCTGGGACCGCGGATTGCCAAGCGAAACTTCGATCCTGGCTTCTTCGTCGAGCACTTCGTCAAGGACATGGGTATCGCCTTGAAAGAGGCCGAGAGGTACGGGACAGGACACGGCAGCGTCTTGGAGTGGGTGCACGACTTGGAGTTTGTTTCGGCTGACGTGTTTCATGTGTTCGTGTGCGATATGTTTTGGGCAGCATGAACCTCGCACTTCCTGGCCTCGCGCTTGCCAACCAGCTGTACGTGGCTGTGAAGGCTCAAGGCCACGGCCGCTTGGGGACGCACTCGCTGATGCTCGCACTTGAGCAGCTCAATGGCATTGGCTCGTCTGCTGCACGCACGTGAGAAAGAGAGAAGACGAGCCAAAGGGATTGTCGCAGGGACTTGGCTAATTCGCCTACGATTCACTAATTCGCCTACGATTTGCTAATTCGTACCCGATACCTCGAGAAAGAAAAGTCGCCTAACAGTTTCTAACGACCTGACACAAACTTGCCCATACAAATCGCCGTTTGAACGTAACCCAATGGACGTTTCGGATCAAGAACTCGAGCAGCCGCTGGTCGACGCCCACGGAGAAGCCCCGCCCTCGTGTCCAGGCAGCACGAATGCTCGTCATGCGATGTATAATCCACTCGTGGATGCAGGCGACGAAGAAGAGAAGGAGGAGCCGCAAACACGGTGTCAGGGGACCCACCCACAGGGGCAGCAGCAAAAGATGACGTATGCAGCACCGAGTGTTCATCCGTATGCTGTGCCTCCGTACCAGCCTCGTAGCTACAGTGGAAGTACGGGCAATGGATGGGGTGGAGGTCAGGGTGAAGAGAGCAGAGGTGACAAAGGACTCTTGGTGGATATCGTCTTCAGTGGCATGTACACGCTAGCGGCTGTGTTCACGATTGTTCAAGGCTTTGGCATGCTCATTCAATTTACATACGCAGCTGGTGAGCCTTTCTTTTGCTGCATGGATAGGCTTGGACTGTGCTGACGTGTCGATTGGTGATCGATTGATTTAGTATCGCTGGGTTTTTACACGATGGCGTTCGGTAAGCTGTTTGATGTGTGGGGGAGGAGGGAGTTTTGAGGACATTGAGGGACTTACGTACAGTGCTTCTGTGTATGGTTTACAGGTGCTGCGGTGATTATGTATGACCTCAAGTCGGTGGTGAATGGTGTGAGCGTGGAGATGTACTTGCCATTCCTGGGCAACTACATTGGTCGCGCAGCGACTATTCTATTCTTTGCCGTGTTGTGTGCCCAAACGTACGAGTTCGCGAGCTGGACCAAGTTCTTTGTATTGTACAACTTGGTGGTCGCTACGCTGCAGGGATTCGTCTACTGTACTACGAAGACGGTGACGCCGAGTCATTCTCAAGCAGACGATCTACCCGACTTGTAAGGCTGTGGCAACATGTGATGGGGCAAGTGTATGTGCAATTGTTTCGTCCGGGGCATTCTAGTGTCGTGGAGTGCCTCTTTGTAAGAGCTGTCTGATGGACCTGACAGTATACTGAGTATACTATTAACTACCGGCGGTCGAAACGTCCACATGTAGAAGCTACGGAAGTTGAATTGCACGCGGGTCTGATAATCAATCTGATACTCGAGCTGTGTCATCGATGGCTTAAGTTCCACACACAACGTTCACATCAAAATCTCGAAGCGGCAAGTGTTCAGAAAATCCGCGGATTTTATATTCGTGTTCAGTTGCGCGAAGGAATGATGGTCGATTGGGAAGAATATCCTCTGATCCAAACGCGCAGCTGGCTTATTGTAAGTGACGCGACATCCGGGATATGTAGGGAACCTTCTGGAAGATAATCTATTCTGGCCAACGGGAAACGACGCACGCACACGTCCCAGATGCTGTTTTCTGACTGATTTGACGACTGCTGCCCTTCAGCCCCTGAGCTTCCAGACTTCATTCTCCAACTTTCCAACTGGAACACAAGCGCAAGAAAGAAGACCAAGACACCACCGACCATTTCAAGATGCAGATTTTCGTGAAGACGTTGACGGGCAAGACGATCACGCTGGACGTGGAGCCGTCTGACTCGATCGACAATGTGAAGCAGAAGATCCAGGACAAGGAGGGCATTCCGCCTGACCAGCAGCGGCTGATCTTTGCTGGCAAGCAGCTGGAAGACGGCCGTACGCTGAGCGACTACAACATCCAGAAGGAGTCGACGCTGCACCTGGTGCTTCGCCTGCGCGGTGGCATGCAGATTTTCGTGAAGACGTTGACGGGCAAGACGATCACGCTGGACGTGGAGCCGTCTGACTCGATCGACAATGTGAAGCAGAAGATCCAGGACAAGGAGGGCATTCCGCCTGACCAGCAGCGTTTGATCTTTGCTGGCAAGCAGTTGGAAGACGGTCGAACGTTGAGTGACTACAACATCCAGAAGGAGTCGACGCTGCACCTGGTGCTTCGCCTGCGCGGTGGCATGCAGATTTTCGTGAAGACGTTGACGGGCAAGACGATCACGCTGGACGTGGAGCCGTCTGACTCGATCGACAATGTGAAGCAGAAGATCCAGGACAAGGAGGGCATTCCGCCTGACCAGCAGCGGCTGATCTTTGCTGGCAAGCAGCTGGAAGATGGCCGTACGCTGAGCGACTACAACATCCAGAAGGAGTCGACGCTGCACCTGGTGCTTCGCCTGCGCGGTGGCATGCAGATTTTCGTGAAGACGTTGACGGGCAAGACGATCACGCTGGACGTGGAGCCGTCTGACTCGATCGACAATGTGAAGCAGAAGATCCAGGACAAGGAGGGCATTCCGCCTGACCAGCAGCGGCTGATCTTTGCTGGCAAGCAGCTGGAAGACGGCCGTACGCTGAGCGACTACAACATCCAGAAGGAGTCGACGCTGCACCTGGTGCTTCGCCTGCGCGGTGGCAACTGATAAACGCAGTATTGGTTCAATAAACAGTTGGTGTGATATAGGATTATGCACTTTTACGTCTGCTATTAAATTTTACGTAAATTTGTGCAGCAAAACACATTGTCAAGTTGTAGCCACCTTACTGTCACCCTCGCTGCCTGCCAAGTTGATTCTTCACCTCTTTGCATCCAAATATTTGCGCTAGTTTTCACTCAAATTTTGTGGTACAAAACTCATTGTCAAGTTGTAGCTGTCTTTCTAGTACTCTCGTCACCTGCGAAATCTAATTCGTTCACCTCTGTGCATCTGACTATTTGCGCCGGTTTGTGAGGAACAAACACTCCTTCGTCACTGCCGAAATTTTCGGGTTGCGAAACGCTTATAGGCTGTGGATGAAGTGGTCGCGGGGGTGAGATAAAAACAGGTGCGGGACTGACAAGACAAACAAGTTGCAGTTCGTACCTAGCGCTTCTGAGCTACCCCAAGCCTCCCTGCCGTTGTTCAGCGCCGTGGATGAGGCATGCCGTGTAAAATTATGCCGGAATCCGGACATAACCCGGACTCAGTCCCGAACTTGTTTGTCCTTAACTTCGACCAGCAGTTGTGGGTGGGAGATCTATCATCTAAATTTGTGCCAAGCAAAAGTCAGCTACTTTGTAATAGGTGCAGGCAGAAATCTAAATTTGGGCCAAGTGGACGACGTCACCTGTCACAAAAAGCCGCTAAATCGAGCCGCTGAACAGAGCGCGTCCAACATTGCGCGGCGGCACATCGATTGTCCCACAGTATCTCCAGGTGGTCGCTAATGCGGCCAGAGGATCACCATTATCCAATCTGCCCCTCTCTGCCTTCAGCCCCATCTTCCTCGTCCGTCTCCGCTCATAAACCATGTCCACTCCGCACAGCAACGACTTCCACATGCTCTGGAAATACGCCAGATCCGGAGACGAAGTCAAAGTCCGACAGCTGATTGAGGAATCTGCTGCCGTGGCGCGTAATCTGATAAACCTCAAGCATCACCGCAAAGGTACTACGCCCCTCATGGAAGCCGCAGCGTACCGTTGCAACGAGCCAATTGTATCGGAGCTCATTGCATCCGGTGCCGATGTGAATGAAGTCGACGACACGAAACTCAAGAACACGGCACTGCACTATGCCGCGAAGACCAACCGAGACCCGCTGGTTGTCGAAACGTTATTGGAGGCAGGCGCTGATCCTTATGCCGTCAACCGCAAGGGCTTTACGCCGCTGGACATTGCTCGTCAAAAACGTCGAAAAGCTGTTGGTGCTGTGCTCCTGAACTACATGAAGGTCCACGCCGGGTGGCTGTTTCTTCGCGGCAAGTTCCGCTGGAACAAGCGCTGGGGCGTTGTCGTGGCCTGCAACAAGCAGCGCACTTCTACGGAGCTCTGCATCTTCCGTCAACCAGGCGACCTTCGCCCCCTCGTGGTTATGCTCATTGACGAAGCTGCACGGATGACGCAATTTCCGTCTACGGACAGTTACTCGTGGCTTCAACGTAACTACGCGTTTGTCTTTGACAAGCCCGTCATGTGCCACCGCGTGAAGCGAGAGAAGTTCACGCGCTCACCGATATGCAAAAAGACAATGAGTCTTGACGACGTTCGGACGCTCCACTATGTGTTTGCTGCCGACAGCTTGAATAATCTCAACCAGTGGCGTCGCGTGCTTCAGAGTTCCAACTTTGACCCACTCGAGGGTTGCTCGTCCATGAACCGGTCGTCGCTTGTCGAGGCTCAGAACGGCGAGCTGTACTACTGGCCGCAAGAGCTGGTCGAAAACCTGCGCTCGACAGTGTTGCGCGAACAGGAACTGCAGCGACAAGGATCGATCGACGCACAAAAGCAGCAGCTCGGTGCCACACCGGATCAGCGCAGCACTGTTGCAACTACCGGTGTTCCTGATCCACTAGCTAGCGCGCAACCAGTGCAGCCGTCGACTGTGTACAGGATGCCGGACGACGAAGCGTCACCGAACTCACTCGTGCAAGGTTCTGCCGGTCAAACAGCTGATCGGTCTTCAGCAGTACACTTTGCGTCCCCTCACGCGGTGGACCGCAACGCGGTATCTCCAGTGGCGGTCCAACAGCCGTTCAACGATGAGCCTCGTCGCACCAGCTCAAGCGCCAGCATCGTCAGCGGGGAAGGGCCCGAATCCACCGACCCCGAGTTTGCACCTGGAATGGTGTTTCTGCCCGGCAGCAAAGTACCTCAGCAGCATTCACATCCGAGCAAGAACGAAGTCGGGCAGGACGAAGAGGCCGATCGTCGGAACGACTTAGCCGGACAGCTACTGTAGGAGAGCGCCGGTAGAAAGAGGAAGACTCGTTATCGTCTGGTCTATGCGGGACATTAGCGACGCAGCGAGGCGGAATGGCAATTACATTTTCTGACACGCAAATAAAAAAAAGACTGTTTGAACCACTTTTGTCGTCCGTTGACGAAATGCGCACGTTGATGACATGTCCCACGTGGCGCATCGCACATGCACGAACAGCGAAAGCGTGATGGGTCCGTGCATACGTGTACCACACCAATCAAGGAGCAAATTATAGAAACGGTATCCATCTGATCACCGGTTTGTACCAACGTTTCTATAATCAGGTACGTTCCACACACCTACAGTCGACGTCACCACCTCGTAAGAAAAAGAAATAAATTACCGACTGCAAAGCACGCTGACGCGGTCTTCCTTTTCCGCACTCTGCCTGTCTGCACGGATAAACCACTTGCGAGAGGGATCGAGAGAGCGACTGTAGCAAGCCAAGTCGAGTCAAGTCTGTCGAATCACTCGACCACGCACTTGAGACCCAGGACGTCCTTCTTCCCCGCTTTAATGACGTGTTTCAACTGCTGTGGGGGCGTGAATGCTCGCTTGTTGTGCCTCACAGCGTGTGCGATTATCGAGTACATGTCGCAGAGTGTCGTGCTGGTGCTCGGACCGATGGTGGCGCTCCATTTCTATCCGGACACGTCGTTCCCTCGTCTGGGTTTCTATACGGCCATCCTCTCCGGCTCGGGCTTCCTCGGTCACGCACTCAGCTGCAGCTTCTGGATCAACTCGGCTCGGTCGCTCCAGAGCAGCAAAGGGGTGATTTTATGGGGTCTGGCGGTCACTGGCGCGGGGTTTTTCAGCTTGCTACTATGCAAGAATCTTGTAGCCATGTCACTCGTCCGATTCGCCACGGGCCTCTGTAGCGGCGTGTCCCCCGTGGCGCTCATTGAGATTGACAATATCTGTGGCAATCGACAGACGAAACTGGCTCTAGTGGCTAAAGCATTGGGTGGGGGACTCGGGGCCATTGGCACATTTGCGTTGCTCACCCTCGGTACAAAACTGTCCAAGAGCTCGGAAGAAGACCCGGCGGCGCGAGACTCGTCGCTGTATTTCTACCCATTTTGTTTCGTGTCGATCACGGCGTGGATTGCTGTGATCGTGATGCTCGTGGCACTGCGTCTGCGAAGCCGGACGACGTCGTACACGCAGCTTGCAGACGACGACGACGACTTTCTGAGCTTTACGCCGCAGGTCCAGAGTGAGACGCAGACTGCGCTACGCTCGTCGACTAGTGCGAACACTAGTAGCACTTGCAGCAGTGAGTGCGGTAGTCCTGTAGGACCTACTGTTGCCCATGTCAAGTCGGTGTTCGAAGAGGCTTTTGGACGAACAGCCACGAGCTTGGGGATGAAGAAGGCGATGGCCTCACCGACAAAGTTAGCAGCCATTACGATGCTTGCCACGCCACAGCCGCATTTTCGACTGATCCGTCGCATTGTGCCTCATTACTATCATGGCTACACGTCAGACGGACACTTGGTCGTATGGGACTTTGTCGGCAGGGTCAATATGGACAAACTTAATGCTGCGGGCTATACGACTTCGGATCTGCGTGATCACTACCACTTCTTCTTGGCCTTCGCACAGGAAATGTTACTACGCACTGCGACACAAAAGATTGTCTACGTCGTGGATCTGGACGGTCTTTCGCTCGGCGATGCCGATGCACGCGCTGTGGATTGTGTCTGTGCAGTGGTCAAGACATTACAACGAGAGTTGCCCAATCGTCTCCAAGTCCTTGCAGTGCTAAATTCGCCTGTATGGTTCTCTCAGGTCATGAAGCGCATTCGCCCGCATTTAGCGAAGCGCACAGCAGACAAGGTGTCGTTTCTGTCCAAGGAGACAGCCACTCGAGACTTGATTGCACTCATCGGCGTTGACAGTCTACCTCAACGCTATGGTGGACGGAATGGTGTAGAGATCGGCAAGAGTGCACAGGAACGCTCACTGGACGCCCTGCTGAAGCGAACAACGGCGCCGCTGGAACGCACGATTGAAATCGTCGGCACCCCGCGATCGCAGCGCCCCAGCGTTGGCCGCTCACATGCTGGTACTACACGTTGTAACGTGAGTGACGACGGCAGCGACGAAGAGGCGTTCTTTGACTGCTCGGAATATGGTTTGCAAGGCGTCGAAGACGTGGAGGATCAGGAGCCGGAGATCTCAGTGGTCGTTGTCTCGCAGTCCACTCCCTCCGCCAAGACTGAAGCTACTGCCCGCAGCAGTTCGGCAACGTCCGGGTCCTACCAGTCGTTGACAAAAAAGCCCGTGAAAGCGGCTCGATCCTCATCGAACCCTGTCAATGCTTCCACGCCTGAACTCACGATTACGCGCGAGCCGCTGGCCTGTTTAGTCCTGCTGGTGTATTTCTTCTGGTCGTTGGTGCAGCTAAGTTTCGACGAGATGCTCCCGCTGTGGTTCTTCAAGCAAAACCTGACAGCATTAGGTGGCAGCGTGCATGCTGAGCCGCCCTCTTTGCGGTCGACTGTGTCGTCCATCACGCTCACCGTGTCTGGCACGCTGGCTTCGTTGTCCCTGGCGGTTCTTCTGGGCCAGACGGCGTCCGCTTTTGTCTGTTCTTCTGCTCGGAATGTCATGACGCCGCTTGCCACGCTACGTTTCGGCTTGCTCCTCCAAGTCCCGATACTGGGCTGCTTTCCGCTCATTCATCGCTTCGAGATGGAAGAACTGCCGTTTTGCTGGGTCCTGGTGGTAGCAGTGCTTGCACTCAAGCAGCTTGTTGCAGGTGTGGCATCCCACGGGATAATGGCGCTCCTGGACAACTCGGTAGTTGTGGACCGACGGCTCGCAGTACATCGTGCTTCCCAACGCATTCGATACGTGGCTCACTTCATCGGGAGCGCTGGAGCTCCCGCTCTCTTTGCGCTCTTGGGCTACTTCGACCAGGCGTTCCCTTTCGACCAGAGTCTGCTGTACTTCGTACAAGCGTTGGGGCTCGTGTTCCTCTTGTGTTTCTCCGTGGCAGTCCCTAGTCGAATGAACTTCCCCGTGCTCTTCAGTCTGGGCAAGCGGTGATCGAATGTGTCGATGCGAAGGAACAACACGCACGGACTTGAGACGACGAGCAGATGGACAAGTAGAACGGATGGACGATGGGGCGAACGCGCCTTCAATGAATGATACGTGAATTCCTAAGTATGATATCGATATCTACATTGCTACTCGCTCCCATTAACCTGTACGGTAGATGCTCAGTTCTCCAGAGGTGCTCGGGGTAGGGACCGCCAACCTGCGAGCTGCGAGCCAGGAAGACAGACCCTCAGCTAGCTAGCAAGCCAGTCAGCTAGCAAGTCAGTCAGCTAGCAAGCCAGTCGGTCCAGTCAAGTCCCTTCATATACTCCCTTCCTTGGTCGGCAAGAACGCACTCATGCCCGAACGCTGGTACTGGATGAGGACGAGCACCAGGACGAAATTCAAGAGCACGAGCGAGTAAAACTGCACGTAAAAGATCACGTCCCAGTGAAAGACCGCCATAAAGTAGGCGAGGTAGAGGACCGTAATATGGGAGCTGATGCCCAAGAACGACGCGACGCGCACGAGGCCGCTAAAGCGTTGACGGTACGCAACGTGGTACTCACTGGTACAAGTCGCCAGGAGCTCTTGGCGATCCGTTTCTGCCTGCGAGGCGGCATCCGACGTGAAACTGGCTTGCACAGTGAGGTAGACGGTGTAAATCCCCAGCAACATCGTGTCCAGAGCACAGGCTGCCTGTTCCCGTGCAGCACGGTACTCGGCCCCGACACTCGCTGCTGTCTCGCCGTCACATTCCGACTGGGGGAGGGCGTTTTCCATGTACACGTTCTTGATGCGGTCGTAGACGATGGCATGGAGCCAGAGCGACATGCCGGACCAGAAGCCGAGGTGGAAGTAGAGCACGTGGCCGCCGTAATGGTGCTGCATGATGTCGCCCATGATCCAGCAGTTGGGAGCGATGACGAGGCCGTCGACGACGCCGTCCAGGATGCGACCTGTGCGCGTCCCGCGTTTGCAGAGACGAGCCACTTGGCCGTCGGTGCAGTCGGACACGATCCAGGCGAACATGAGGAGCGCGGCAGAGAGCAGGGAGTGCGAGGGCGTCCAGGCCAGGGGGTAGTGGAACTCCGAGTCGTAGAGACAGAGCGCGGCGCCCCAGCCGAGAAAGAGGCCGAAGATCGTGATCTGATTGGGCGTAATCACGAAGGGCAAGTAGCTCACGATCACGGCCGGCACGGCGGCAAGACGTCGGTGCCAGTAGTAGTCAATGAGCTCCTCGACGTCGTACATCTTGGTGCACGTGGCTTTGTGGTAGCGGTCGAAAACGGTCTCGTAGACACTCGATTCTTTCGCGGTGGACGTGGACGTGGTGGGGGGCACGGGGGAGGGCGACGCCTTGGAATGCGGTTCCGGCGCGAGCTTGAGCGTGTCCGACGACTGCTCGTCGTCGCTGCTGACGGGCGAGGCGGACCGCGACCCGTTGCGGTGCGTCCTGTGTTTGGCCGCACTGGCTTTCTTCATGGAGCCGTACCGCTCGTTTGTCAGCTGGATCTCGACCATGCGGGTCATGCCGAGAGTCAAATTCGCACTTAAGCGCGCACTTGCTCCTTCGAGGTCGAATCTAGAAATGAACGTTGGAGATCGTTTCAAAAGTGGCGCGAGCGTGTCGCATAGACGGGAGGAGGGAGGGTAGGGCACGAACTGACCTACTACTCACATAGTAGGATGGTGTTTGGCAACATGCGACAGGGAGTTTGTATGGGAGCAAGGAGGGAAAACCCTTGCCCTGTGTGTGTGTGTGGCCTACGGGCTAGGGGCAAGCGATTGTGTTGATGTAAAAGAGGACGTCGCCTGGGGACGAGCGTCCGAGATGTTCATTGACTGAGGTTGGACAACCCGCACGCATGAGCTGTGGGATCTCGATTACGTCCAGCAAAGCGCAATCGGAAAGGATTGCGTGACGCCGGGGGAACTGGTGGAAGTTCGAGCCCATTGCGTCTGGTCGGTGCCGTCTGTCTCGACGTTTGTGCAGCGAGCTAGTCAAGAGATAGTTTCCAGTTATTTATGGGGGCGGCTCCACACTCATTCGGTCGAAACGTGAGGTGTATCGACGCGTTCGACGTTCGAAAAGCTTTCGCTGGTCAACAGAGCAACACGTGGAGAGGTACCTCAGGACAAATGCGTGAGAAACGACGGTGGCTTGACCTGCTGGTGCGCGAGTCAGCATTGAGTTACCAGAAAGAGGCAACCAATATGGCGCGTGAGACGCCAGTCCCGATCGACGATCGACCGTCCACATGTCTCTACTCATCGTCTCACGATCGATACGACAAGAGGGTTCCAAGTACAGGAGCTTCTGACCAGTTCTTTTTTGCGTGCATGTTTTTCCGTGTCTTTCGAATAGCCACGAGGAGCTTGCGACGCAGCTGTTCTCAGCAGCCATCCGACATGTCCGTGGCTGTCTCTTCCAAGGTCGGATTACAATGTGCAAATTGTGCCTCTTGTCCCTTCCTCGTACGTTCTCAGTCGAGAGGGCGTGTCTTCTTCGCACGCGCAACAAAGTCGCTTGAGCGTCGAATAGCCTCGTCTAGTTCCTCAATTTGGACGTCCAGTCTACTGGCTGTGCTTTTGCACGAGCGCCACATTGTTGACGCCCCACGGCTAGATGGATACCTCCTGCCATCTGCACATACCACGTAACGTCCGCGTCCGCCGATAATGACCTTCCAAGAAGTGAGACATGTTCCCGAGCTCCGACCAGGCAAATGGTGGCCGGCAGCCTACTGAATAAACACATAAATGATCTCGTAGGCTCATATCTCCCCCTTTTTTCTTGTCTTCCATGGTGATCTTTTGGAACTACCGTCGGATGTAGAGAGTAGTGCAGTGGCGAGCATCGGCTTCCGCGGTGGTCACTTGCAAACAATAGGTGCAGAATATGAGAGCTCGAGCCTTTTTTACAGCAAATGATCCGACCGGACCTTGCCAGATGTTGCTAATGCGACCTTCTGTCGCTCGCTCTCGTGACAAAGCAGTTGCAGAAATCATTTATACCTACCTGATGAGACGTTTAAACCTCTGAACGAGATGAGATGGATGACAATTATTGGGCCTCTGAAAGAATGCTGAGCTTACTTCTCGCGTCGATAGGTGGCTACAACGACCACGGGATTGCGTCGTGTATGTGACTGTTGCGTCTCTTCGTAACGACGACGACGGGAAGAGGGAGACTGGTTTGCAGCGTCGTGCTTGATTTTGAAAGACAGATCATTGACCGAAGCGGTTTCGTACGAAGAATGTGTAGCAAAAGCGCGTCCACTTAGTCAGAATTTGTAGCATCTTTTCATGAGCAAAAGAAGCAAGCTGAAGGCGCTGTAAGACCAGCCGCAAGACTAAAGCACCATATCGTGCACGAATCGAAAGCAGCTTTCTCGAAGCAGCCGCACAGTTTCACAGCGTGCAACCCTCTACTGCGCACCGCATGCTCACAAAATAAAACTGATGCATCACGGCAGCCTTTTCTTGCTGCTAGCAGTGGCGCTTTCGAAACACGAAGAGTTGGTGCAGGGTGTCCATAGTGCAGACCAGGAAACTAGCCTGCACTGTGAGTAGTTTGTAATGACAGGGCCGACCAACTGTCCAACTGAAGCACAAGCGCGATCGAATGGGACACCAGCATCGTTGGGACCTTCGATCTCGCTGTATCATCTGTACTTTGTGCGCGACCGCGGGCAGCAACGACCCCATCGTGACCAACCGGGTGGTTCGCACTCATCCTTGCCGTGATTGTGGAAGTCGCGTTTGAACCAGTAAACGGAATCTACGTCGAAATGACCTGCAAGCAGTGCCAGGGAGAGACAAATTCTGTAATTTGCTTGTCAAGCAAAAATAACTTACTTGGCCTAAGATGATGATAGTACGTGAAGTACTTAAAGCTGCAGTCTCTGAGCAACACCTGAGATATGGCACCGGTAGGAAGTACGACAGTGCGTTAGAATTGTATCCACGGCCCAATTCCTACGACACCACTACTTCATGGCACTACTCCACAGCAATCCCATGTGCGGGATGCAGTGTCTTTCGCACGAAACATGCGATGCTCCGCCGTCCGTGCCACACAAGTATCCACACACAAATATTGTGTAACAACAGCGTTTCTTCCACACAAATCACATTATCACCACAACACACTGAGCTCATTCGAAGACCCCATCGATTCACACACACACTCGAGGTGACAATGGCCGTCACCGTTGTCAGTCGCAGTCACGATCAAGCCAAGACGCCGTCGTACCGCTACGTGACCGAAGACGGCGTTGCTCATATCTTGGCCTATCGCTATAGCGGCAGCGACGCCTCGCTCCTGTACAATTACGTGATCTCTCCATTGGCTCAGTGGCTCGTCAACCACGTGCTGTCACCTCGCCTCGCACCAAACGCCATTACGATTGGCGCGCTCTCGCTCGTCGTGTTGTCACACTTGATTATGCTCTGGTGACGTTATTATAGCGATCTGGTCGGTTGTTCAAATGGGTACAAAACTGACGATTGTATCGCGACTTGGTGGATTGTACTCTGCAGGTATGCGCCCAATATGGAAGAAGAGGCGCCGCGGTGGGTGTACGCCACCGCAGGTGTATCGCTGCTTTTGTACCAGATTTTAGACGTTGCAGACGGGAAACAAGCTCGAAAAACCGGCAACTCTTCGCCACTCGGTCTCTTGTTCGATCATGGCTGTGATGCACTGAATGTGGTTATTAGTGCGTGTACGTTTGCGTCTACGATAAGGCTCGGAGCGACGTATTGGGTATTACGCGTCTTGCTGGAAAGAGTGGAGACCGAGCGTTCTGATGATGTTATTGTTACGTTTCGTGTGCTTGGTGTTGTTCTTGTTGTCGTTATTGCTGCGGGTGGTGGTGGTGGTGGTGCTTGTGATGCTGGTTGTGCTAGTCTCTACTGCTTTTTCTTGCACCAGCCATGGTGTTCTTCATGGCGACGTGGGAGGAGTACTATACCGGCACACTGGCGCTCCCGGTGATCAATGGACCTAACGAAGGCTTGCTGATCATGTACTCGATCTACGTTGCCACGTCGATCGTTGGATCGACGGTATGGACGCAGCCGAACGCTGTCTTTCCGCAGCTGAATAACAATCAGGTCTTCGTCTTGTTCACGGTCACCCTAGCGACTGTGCAGTGCATTTTCAGCGGTGAGCTATGGTTTCGTTGTGCGTGGATATGACTCGTTTGTACGTGCTGGAGTTGTTCATGCTTGTGTCGACTGTGCAGCGGTCGTCGCTATTCGATCGATGAAGCGCAAGGCAAAAGATGGCGCTGCGGCGCTGGTTGGAATGACGCCTTTTATTGCGCTCGTCTTGCTGTCTGCGCTTTGGGTGCTCTGGTCTCCGTCTGATGTCTTGTCGGACCATCCACGTCTCCTTATCTGGACGGTGGGGTTTGTTTTCGCAAAGGTAAAAGACCAATCATGCTGCTAAAAGCACTGTAGCCAACTCGTGTACCTCTCGCTCACTCCTACGTGTCGTGCCAGATGGTGATGCACATGATGCTATCACACATGTGCGAAGAGCCGTACTGGTTGCTGCGCAAGACGTTTATGGTCCAGCTCGTTGTTTCGTTCCTGTTGGTGGCTGGCATCGTGCCTTGGGTGCGTTCATTGTTGTTGTGGCGCAACTGAACGTCGATGGACAGGCTCGCTCTTACGAATTGCTGCTGTGTGTAGGGCCACGAGAGCTCGGTGGTGCAGCTGTTCTTCACGATCTCACTGTTGGCTTACGCGCACATGATCTACTTTCTCTCCACGGAGCTTGCCGCCATCCTTGGTATCCACATCTTCAAGGTGAAGCAGTGGTAGAGCTTTCGTACTGCATATGGTAGAAAGCTGCGAAAACAGAGCGTGGCGTAGCCACGAGAAGCACGCGATGCCAAGCGCTGAGAGGATAGATGGAGGTTGTGGTTGGAAGAAGAAACGCTATTGACTACTATATGAGCGGGTGGCACCGCGCCATTATCCCGCAATCTCTACTACTCACGATGAGAAAGCCGAGCGCTGCCGGTATTGCCCCCAACAATAGTATTGTGACGAGAAAACGCAACGTGTTCCATTGTGTCTTGGACCCCTCCTATACATATCGACAATCATTATCAGATGATCATAGTTCACTTCAATAGCACAAAACAGTAGCTGCAGCGAAACGTACCGTAACCTGCGGCACATGCACTGCTGTCTGAAGTTGACTCACGCGCTTGTCCAGTAGCTGATAACGCTGCACCATACTCTTCACTGCCTCTTGCATTTCCTGTTCCACCTTCTGGAGTGCATCCGACATCAATTCCGCGCGCTCGTCACGCATCTTCCCATTGGCAATGACACTGATCACATCTGCTTTGATCTGTGAAATTTCAATCGCGCGGCTCTGCTCCTGCAGCTCGGCATCGTATTTCCGACGTTTGCCATCCGCTTCCAGTTCGCTCAGCTGCTCCCGTTGCACGCGGAGTTCATCCAGCATATCATCGTGCAACGTCGCCACGTCGTTGTGATCCGGATCCTGGTCATTGTCCGTGTGCGACTGCCTCGAGTGCAGCAACTTGCCTTGCACAAGCTGCGTCAGCTGCTGGTTCAAGTTCTCCAGCGACGGAAAGATCCCACTCGCGTGTTTATCAAACTCCACCTGATTCTGCACCAACTCGTCCTTTTGTTGCACCAATTGCGCAATCGTCTCCTCCATTTGCCGCACGTACGTGTGGAGCTCCTCGTGCGTCTTGGGGTTTCCCCCTCGTTTTCCATCCAGCAGCTCGTCACTACGGCGAACGTCCCCTGTATCTGCGACACGTCCGTTCGTCGTCCTCGTCCTTCTCTCGCCTTCCAGCGCCTCGTCGTCCGTGACGTCGTCACACTGGAGCGCTTGCTGTGCACCGTCTGCTGAACACCCACGCAGGTCCTTTGCAGTCGTAGCAATCGGAGTCGAGTCAGTAGTAGTAGTAGTAGTAGGAGGAGGACGAGGAAATGTAGCCATTTGGATACAATCGACTGGCCGTCGTTTCGCGCGGGGAATAAGAAAAGCAGACGGGGCCGTCCCTGCGTCCTTCTCTACACTGGGCCACTTGAGCTGCTCGTCCGAGAGCTCTGCGAGCCGCATACGGTCGGACCGTATCGCGTCTTTAGCAACCGGAAGATCTGGCTGCTGCTCTTTGTGCTGCTGCTGCTTTTGTTGCTTTAGCCGCTCTCTGGACGTGCCATGGTCGACGTCCAGAGGCGAAGGACGCAGCGTGCGACTGCGTGTCCGTCGGGCAGGTCCGTTGCTCTCGCGGTCGCTCTTGCCGACGATGATCTTTCGGTGCAGCTTGGACAGCTCCGAGTGCGCCTTGGAGATGCGCTCGTTCAGCTGCGCGTCGTCCTCTTCCTTGGAGCCGAGTCCAGCGTCGCTTGGCATGGCTCGAAATCGATTGGGTTTCCTTTTCTGGTGCAAGAGTGATTGTTTTCGTTTCCCTCCTGATTTGGCAACGCGACTCTTGATTACGCAACTTGACGGACGAGAAAATGCGTATCATCAACATCGCAGTTGCAGTTGCGGAATCGAGGGGAAATCATCTCGTCTGTGATGTTCCACGGTCGGCCTTCGACATGCAAAAAAGGAGCTGCGCAATTGATTCCATTGTGATTACACTCTGTAGCTAACGATTCAGAGATCAGATCTTGCGATAGTCATCTCCTTCCTTACGCCTTTTCGCCACCCACGAGTGTGGAGGCCTCTATTTACTGCTCAAACGTGTCGGACATTGGCTCATCTGCGAGCCCTGTAGCCGTTTGGCCTGCAACTCCTTCCGCTGCAGCTGCCGTGACGATGGACAGCGAGCGAGTTGAAGGTTGAGCGCTCAGCTTTTCCTCGAGCGTCCGTGGTGCGGCATCCTGAAGTAACGTTTAACACAAGGTGTGCGTTAGCGAGCTGACAACTCACTTCAACACAACAAATAGTCAATCGTTCACGTTGAGTACGCAAAGCTCAATGAATCAAAACGCACTGGTGCTGCTGCGTCCAATTGTGCAAAGAGCTCCTGTCGCAGCTTGTCATGAGCCGGATTGTGCTTGGTAAAGTGGATTGTCGAGCCCATTTCGTTGTTGTACACGTTCGTGAGCGACTCGTCCACACACTCTTCCACTTTGTTCAGGTAGTTTTCCGGATCGTGACGAAACCTATTGATGGGCACAATCATCCGACAAACAGAAAGTCAGAGCCAGAACAGATATGTCATAGCAGCCTTTGACCGCACATCTCCAGTGCCACGCTGTTCGCAACTATTTCGGTTTCCGGGAAGTCTTTCATGTAAAAGATCCCTTTGAGATACGTGAGTACTGCCACCATGTAGTGCAGCTCAGGGTCCCATTCTGGGAACTTGGGACTCAAATCCAGCTCTTTCGTCTCTTCTTCGACATACGGATGGAAGATCGCGGTGTTGAACACAATGCGAGGATACGTGCCAGGTCCGTTGTAGCTACCAAAGAGCATATGCAGATACGTCACATGTCAGTTACGTTACTTCAGTTCAACGGCAGACCCCAATTGTACACAATCATCATTGGGTGTTACTTTTCAGGCAAGAAAATAGTAAACTTGAAAATGGCATTGCGGTAGAGCCCAGCGTGGATGAAGATGACTCCATACCACACGCGCGATTGGTCAAAACTCGGTAGTACATAGATACCGCTCGGGACATGCTGACGCAAATGCTTGTACTCAATCATAAGACCATAATCTTTCATCGTCTGGGACCGGTACTTCTGCAGCGACGACATGGGACTCCCGCTCCCGTTTTGCTGTTCATTGGCGTCGGGCAGAGACGCTTGCGAGCTGGGAATTCGAATAAAGAAACGTCGATATCATGGTTCATATGTTGCAATCAAGTAGTGAGTAGAAAAGGAGCTCGGGCTAGTAGATGTCTAGAGGGGACGTACGCGTCCGATGAGGTCTTGAGTCTCCGCAGCATGGAAGCTTTCGTTCTTTCGTGAAAGTCTAAATTTGAAATCTCAGCTTGTTTTGGTACCCGCTGTTTGTAATATAACAACACATGCACATCTTACTTCATCAACATCTTACTTCATGAGCAGTTTCATACCGGTATGAACATCATACCGGTAACCTACTTCGCCAGTGGGTCATTCTTCATCAGTGACAATGACGGGCATCGAGCGCTATGGCTCGTCGGGCGCGCACACGGTGGAGGGCAACGTAGCTGGCTCTAAGGCTGCAAAGCTGACAAGACAGCGAGAGAAGCAGCAGCAGGAGTACGAAGCCAAGCGTCAGGAAATTGAGAAGACGAACCGACGAGGCACGCGCATTGACGACAACTTCCAGTCGCACACCGACAATGACGAGAGCGAGTTTAAGGTACGTTGGCGTTTGTGATTATCAAGTTTTGCAGTCATGACGTATCGCAGTTCTCAGCGGTGTTTGTATTCTGACTGTGACGTTACTGGATACCGGATTACTGGTATGTAGCGCCAAACAGTGGGACTCGTAACAGCTGAAGAGTTTCGGAAAAAGCGCGAGGACCTGCAGAACCGCAAGAGCGCGTTGGTGGAAGTGCAGTGCGTTTAGTTACAGTTGATTTATGGTTACAGAGAAGGTCTCTAGGGGGATTGACCCGTTCGTCTATGGTGTTCTGGCTGTCTAAAGGCCTGAGGAGAAGCAGACGGAACGGAAAAAAACGAAGAAGAAGAAGCGACAAGCAAAAAAGATCGGGCCGCTGTCGTTTGATTTGGACGGCAGTGGAGATGAAGCTGGGGAGGAAGTGGTGGAGGTGAAACGGATGAAAAAGAGTATAAAGAATCCTGAAGTGGATACCGACTTTCTGCCGGACAAGGAGCGGGAGAAGGAAGAAGCTCGAGAGCGTCAACGGCTCCGAGCGGAGTGGGAAGCAGAGCAAGAAATCATCAAGAGTACGTGGCATGGAGTGCTGCAGGAAGTCAAATGAACCGCTTGGACTCATCATCTGTGCAATGCGTGACTTGATCAGACGAGAATGTTGCTGTAACTTACAGTTACTGGGATGGCTCCGGTCATCGTCGTGAAATCACGGTACGTATTGTATGTTTGCTCTCGTGACGCGCTGTTCGGGCTCGTCAAGTGATTGCGTATGTTTGTCGACAGGTTCCTAAGAAAACTACGATCGGCAAATACCTGGAGCTTGTCAAGCAGCAACTGGTGTCTGAGTTTGCAGAGTTGCGCGGTGTCGGTGCAGAAAATCTGATCTATATCAAGGAGGACCTCATCATTCCTCACGTATGTGACACGGAGACGTAGCAAAGTCAAAATGCTTACTGATTCTGTATTGCTGGATGCGTGTTAGCACTACTCGTTCTATGATTTGATTGTAACGAAAGCGCGCGGGAAAAGCGGACCGCTCTTCTGCTTCGATGTGCACGATGATGTCCGTCTCGTACAGGACCGACGTGTCGAGAAAGATGAGGTGAGAGTTTTCCCCTCGTTACGCGTTTCTGAAGACTTGGTGTGTATAACGTGTTCTTGTGTGTCAAAGTCGCATCCTGGCAAAGTGGTAGATCGCCATTGGTATGAAAAGAACAAGCATATCTTCCCTGCCAGTCGATGGGAAGTGGTGAGTGAATTGTTTGCACGCCAGTACTGGAGTGAAGTTTAACGAAACGATGATGTGTGCAGTATGATCCCAATGTCGTTCGCGAGAAGTACACTATCCGTGGAAACTAGCACATTTATTCGTGGCGAGGTCCATCAAAATATACTTCGATTGATGACTTGTTCAACCCCGAACTCGTACGTGAAAACCTGACTGCGTATTCAAACGGCAAAGAGAGCAAAAGATGATACAGCCATTCGTACCAACAGCATACGCTGTTGAGTGCGCCGCTACGACTAGTGATGTGGTGCTAGAACTGGCGACCTCGACGGCTTCAATAAAGAAGTGTAGAACCACATGGAGTCTATTCGTCTTCGTCAGACTGAATGAACTTGGAATAAGACGTGTTCTGACATTCTCCGTTGGCATCAAAGACGGCTTTGTAAAAGGATCCGTCAGCTCCCACGACTAGTTGAAAGCAGACCGAGTCAGTCCTAGTGCTCCGTGGTACATAGCGATAGATAGTAGAGCAATACGTACCGACAATCGTGTTCTTCTCCGTACCAAACGCGCAGATCGTTCGGGTTTCCGGTACGCGGAACTGGGCGAAACTCCACTCTGAGCTGAAATACTTCGGAAGCAATCCCCGCATGAAGGACAAACTACAAGCATACACCCAACAGCAAGGTGTGGCTTAGCACATCACTTGTACCTATACAAACGCCACACAAGTCACAAATATAGATAGATACCTCGACTTGGAGTTCTCAGTACCGTCGTCTTCACCGCTGCGAGGCGCACTTCCCGCTGAAAAATGAGACGGCACGCTTTGCGACGGAACACTGCCCATCGTGGTTGGATCGGACGTGAAGCTTTGGCCGGAACCTTCTGCTGTCAGCGAAAAGACGTGCACTGTGCCCTTATCACTGGAGCACGCGAGCAAGGGGGCGGTTGGGCTGAAGCAAATGCTGTAAATCTCCGCACGATCGGCCCCACGACTACACAGATACGAACCCGTCAGACGTTACTACCTCCGACCACAACACATACACTCGTGCAACTAGAAATACACCACTCACCGCAGCTCCTGCATGATCTGACCGCTTTGAGTGTCAAAGATACGAATCAGAGTTCCCTTGTCCGAGGCTGTTGCAAGTCGTGTGCCATCAAGGTTTGTGCAAATCTACAGACAAAGTGAGCTCCTAACTGTTGTATACGGCGAATACAGGACTACACACCTGTGACAACTCAGCTTCATGTGCGGTAATCAGCGTCGTTTTCCGCAAATCGTACAGCTCAATGCGGACCGTGCCGCGCGTCACACCGGGACAAGCCAGCACCGTGTTGGACGGATTCGGACACAAGGCACACAGACCTTTGGGGTTCGCCAATGTTTCGATATGATCCACTAGCTTCAGATCCGCTGCAAGAACGAACAGCGATAATGTACGCGTGAAACGACAAACGATGCAGCTACAGACCAAGCCAGCAGCTTACAGAAATTGTAGACATAGATCTTGTTCTGCAGCACGACTACCACACTACAGGACAGCAGAAACGTCTCAGTCATCCCGTATCAACGCATTAACACACCAATGACGACAGCACACTACCGGTCTCGTCGTAGCTTGACAGCCTTCACCTCGCTACGAAAGCTGAGCTCGCCAATGTTGCGGCTCTGATGGTCGTCCCAGATCATCACCTGACAAAGCGCCCCACCAGCAGGTACCCACATCAGTCACCCACGTCTCAAATCTCCGTCTCGGGCATCCCAAGCTCTGATTTTCTGCACCTTGTTAGGAGGGTATCTCGGATTGCGTCCGCCGCCCACGATAGCCAGAATGTTGCACCGAAAGAGCATTTCCACAATGCCAATGCCGCCATTAGCAAAGTCTACAGATCAGCAACAATAACAATAACAGAGAGGGGGAAAAAGACAAAGAGAGAGAATGAGCCATCGAAAGTGGGACTGCCTCGTCTCCAACAACAGCGACACGAACCTCGATGGAACGTCTCTTTGAACGGGTCGCAATTGAAGATCTTGAAACCCGAGTCAGTTCCACAGGCAAAGCAGCCTGAGTGTACATAAAAGACACACAAATTAGGACACACACATACCCGAGCGAGTAAAACAACGCAAGAAGGGACGGAACAAGAGAGAGAGAGAGGGGGAGAGAGAGAGGGAGAGAGAGAGAGAGAGAGACGAACCGCTGTCCTGGTTGAAGCCTGCGAAGAGGAGCTCGTTCTGTTGCTCGCGGCTGAGGTTCATCGCGGACATGACGCAGGAGATGAGCACGGGGCGTGCGCGACTGGGAGACCGGGCAAATGTTGATCGGGAGAGAAGGATTGGCGACTTTTCTGACTTTAAATCGTTTTAACGATTGTATGGAAAAGGTGCGGCTGTTTTGGGGAACCACCCGACGCAAATCACGAAAACCCGAGATGCTTTTTTTGGGTCTGGAACAGAGAGCAGCTACCTGAAGTAGCAGAACTCAATGTCTGCGACGATACTTTTTTTGTGTGCTTGTTCAAAATTCGTGCGGATCCCGGTACAGTTCGTTTCACGGGATGTCGATGTGATTCGTCGAAACACAATTAATGTCGTTTAAATCTTCGGCTAAAGTCATTGATACTATTGGTAACGGTGTTGGTTACTGATACTAATGACCATATGTCATGGACGACACTGTGTGATAGTGTGTAACGATGGGATCGACTCATCGTTTTGTTACTAATATTATAGAGTCGATATCGATAGGCTTAGAGTAGTACAACGAGACGAACTAAGGACCTAGCTAGATGATAATTCACTTTCCATTTTACCTTCTTCTAAGCTCTCCCACCTCAACTCGCTCTTGGCTGTTGCCAAAAGTCAAAAGGTTATGAGCCCAACTACGCCGGATGCGGGCGACATACTCCGCGAAGATAACTACTTCGTGTGGGAGTTCAACGCAAGGATGAGGCTGGCAAAGAAGGGATTGCTAGAGCACCTAGACGCTATGAAGGCCCCAGAAGAAGGAGACGCAAGCGCGTCAACTTGGAAAGTCAACGACATGAAGGCCTTCGCGATTGTGTCCACAATGATCAGCACAAATCTTCAGTCAATGGTGCGCACGGCAGAGACAACGGCAAAAGCATGGGACATACTGAAGACTTTCTTCCTGCGGCAAAGTATGCACAATCGTGTGCAGTTGCGGCGGCAACTACATGAGTTCAAGTTGGCCAAGGGAGGAAGCATCATGGATCACTTCCTGAGATTTGACGAGCTGTGCATGACTATGCAAGCTGTGGGACAAGAGATCTCACAGGATGAGCATTTGGTCATCCTATTGGGTAGTCTAACGAGAGACTATGACCCTATCGTCAAGATAATTGAGAACATGCCCGGAATGACACTGTTTCACGCTAAGGAAATGCTGAGACGGGAGTACGATGGAATGGCGAGGACAGAACACCAAGAAATCGCACTGAAAAGTACGCACACTTCCAAGTACAAGAAAGGTCCGCGCAGACATATGGGGAGATCAAGTTCAAGAGGTGAAAAGTTTTCGGGAAGGTGTTACCGATGTAACAAATATGGGCACAAGCGTCAAGATTGCAAGGCTGAACAAGTGGAGACAGAGCGATCTGGAGAAGAGAGAGCATTTACTGCGTCAAGTCGGACGTCAGCTGGATGGTTATTGGACAGTGGGGCAAGCAGCCACATGTGTCCCGACAGAAATGAGTTTTCGAATTTAAACTCACTGACGGACCCGATCATGATCACCATAGCAGACGGCAGCGAAGTGGAAGCGCAAGGTGTTGGGACAGTGCGCGCGCAACTCAAGACTGGTGAAGTGATCAGGATCGAAGAAACGCTATGGGTGCCGGGCCTAGACCGAAGGCTACTGTCAATATCGGCATTGTCAAAGAGGGGTCTACAAGTGATCTTCTCAGATCTGAGCTGTCAGATCAGAAGTAACACGGAAGTCGTTGCCCAAATACCAAGACGAAACAAGATGTACGTCTTAGAGTGCAGTCCGGCTGAGGTAGCCAACGTTTGCGGAGAGACATCTCAAGAGCAAGAATCAAGTGACGGATCAGGAGCGGCTGATCTACAAGTGTGGCATGCAAGATTAGGTCACCTGTCAACGAAGATGCTCAAGGGTATGGCAGGTTGCGTCAATGGATTAAAGATCAAGAAGAATCAAGGCGTTGAAGATGATATCGAGATCTGCGAAGGGTGCATCATGGGTAAAGCAACCGTCAAGACGTTTCCGAAGTCACCATACGGACACGTGAAAACCAAGGAGGTGTTGCAGTTGGTCCACAGTGATGTCATGGGACCTATGGAATCGAAGTCTCGAGGAGGATCAAGATTTGTCGTGACTTTTATTGATGATTATTCGAGATATATAGTCGCATACTATATTGAGAACAAGTCGGAAGTGACGGATCGCTTTATAGAGTATAAGGCACTTATGGAGAATCAACTGTCCAAGAAGATCAAGTGTATCAGGACGGACAACGGGACGGAATACGTCAACAGACGTTTCTCCGGTGTATGTCGAAAATCTGGTATCATGCATCAGACGACGATACCCTATTCGCCACAACAGAATGGGCTGGCCGAACGCATGAACAGGACACTGACAGAGCGGGCCAGAGCAATGCTCAGCCATATGCAAGTGGATAAAATTTGGTGGGCTGAGGCGATGAACACGGCAGTCTATGTGACAAACCGAGTTCCATGTGCTAGTCACCCGACTAAAACTCCATTTGAGTTCATCTTCGGGAAGAAGCCTGACCTCTCCGAGATGTGTGTATTTGGATCAAAGGGATATGCACATGTCGACAAGTCGAACAGGACCAAGATGACCAAGAAGGCGATTCGATGTATTTTTCTAGGTTACTCGGATCAAATCAAGGGGCTTCGAATATGGGATGAAGATGCCAAGAGGGTGACGCACACGAGATCGGCTAAATTCGATGAGAGACCACCACTTCAGTACGTGCAACGTTACAGCAGATCAAGTGACCAAGAGTTTCGCGCTGTTCATGACGAAGACACTGTTTCTATCGATTTAGAACAGCCACGAGTCACGAAAGACATGGACATAGCAATGGAGGACAGTCACAGTGTTCAAGAAGAGAGTCACATGCAAGACAGGCGTACAACAACGATGGCTCTACCATCAAGATGCAGTAGCAAGATGCCTGAACACGTGGGTTCCAATGCTGACGATCCAATGTTTGAAATTGATGATGTGACGATGATTGAAGAAGATCAAGAATCGGCTGAAGACGTGTCAAGACAAGGACAGATGGTGATACGACCAAGTCGACAGACAAGTATTCAAGCATCGCAAGAAACCGCGATGGTTCCACTAGAATCGGTTCAACATGGACAATCTCAAGCGTTAATACCAGTGAATGGTGCTGATGAGGACTTTTATGACGGCTCAGAAGTGTGTCAAGAAAAAGGCACAAAGAGACTACGTATTGGGTATGAGCAAGCATGTGCAGCGTTCGAGACCCCAACGACATACGAAGAAGCTCTTAAGTCACCTCGTCGTGATAATTGGTACAAGGCCATTCAAGCTGAGCTCAAGGCATTAGAGGAAAAGGACACCTGGACTGTTCAAACACAGCGTCCAAACCAGAAAGTGATTGGAACCAAGTGGGTGTTCGCACTCAAACGAAACGAGCTGGGTGAGATTATTCGATACAAGGCACGTCTTGTAGCACTTGGCTACAGGCAGACGTATGGAGTTGACTACATGGAGACATATTCACCTGTGGCAAACCTCAACTCAATACGGGTGTTTTTGGCGGTGTGCTGTCAAAAGGGGATGTTGATTCATCAATATGATGTCGACACTGCGTTTCTGTATGGCGTTTTGGAAGAAGAGGTATACGTATACCCTCCTCTGGGTGTTCGTGCAGAACATAATCAAGTGCTTAAGCTGAATCGCAGTCTGTATGGGCTGAAACAAGCGGCCGCTACATGGTACAAGACAATTTCGTGTGTGTTTGTGGAGATGGGGTTCTTTTCATGCGTGGCAGACTCATGCATTTTCGTCAAAGAGACCAAGGGCTCGTGGATTTACGCTGCATTATATGTGGACGACCTTCTAATTGGGGCTGAATCTACTGGAGTGATGGAAGATGTGGCAGCTCAACTATCAAGTCGTTTCCAGTTGAAGATACTAGGGGGTGTTCGATACGTTCTTGGAATCGAAGTCAAGTACCTGCGCAACAATCGACGTCTGAAGATCAGTCAAGGATCGTGTATATCAAGAATGGTCGAGAAATTTAATCAAGTTGATGCGAAAGCAGTGTCAAATCCAAGTGTTGAAGGGCAAGCGATGGTCAAGATGGACAAAGCTGACACAAGAATGAAGAATCGACCGTATCGATCGTTAGTGGGGTCGTTGTTGTATGTGGCAACAGGCACACGACCAGATATTGCGTATACAGTATGTCAGCTGAGTCGTCATTTGGAATTTCCACATGAAGAGCACTGGAATGCAGCGATTCGAGTGTTGCGATATCTGAAGACGACGCAGAGCAAAGGAATTTGTTATGAAGGAGTTTCAGGCAATCTTCAGCTGAGCGCGTACACCGATGCAGACTGGGCAAGTAACAAGTGGAATCGCAGATCGATTTCGGGAGTTTTTATCATGATTAATGGCGCACCTGTGATTTTCAAGTCGAAGATGCAGCAGAGCGTGGCACTGAGCATGTAACGGGGCACCCTGAAGCTTGTACTGGTGACAGTACAAGCTACTTATTCTGATAACAGAATAAGGCGGTGCCTCGTAACTTCACGTACACTCGTACGTGCAGAGGAAGACGGTAAGAAGAAGCGAGTACTCGGTTAGAGTAAAAAGTAGAACTGTATTTATAATAGTTAATGTCTGCAATAAATCACTATTTATCTTCATCTAACTATGTCTAAATACAAATGTGTAAATTAGTTATCTGCTCACCACTCATTGCGTGCGTCTGTCGTGGCGCGTCTTCGTTGGTTGATATAATGGCCTATATCAACCAATTAGGAACTACTTGGAAGTGCTACAGAATATTGTCCTTATGACAATATTCTGAGAATATAACTCTTATAGTTATATTCTATTAACAATTTCTTATAAATTGTTATGTAACGATTCACCCCGTTACATCACCCCCTTAACCATCAGTCACTTTAGTGACTGATTGACTAAATGGATACTCGTCCCAAATCATTTGGGACGGGGTTTGCACTTGTTGGTCCGCGTCCACTTTCCAACATCTCAT